TGTACATTAAAAACACTTATATATTTAACACCATTATAAATGCTGGAGCCAAAGCAGGGTTTGGGGTGGAGGCTGACAGCTTGTGACCCCCCCATGTAATAACCTCATGACCCCCTGAGGGGTCCAAACCCCCAGTTTGAGAACCCCTGTCCTAAAGTCTTTGCTACCTGATACCCGTTCACAAGGGTGGATAAAACTAACTCCTTTGGCAGTCTTGGGAAAGGGACTAGAGATGAAATGGGCTAGGAGACTGAATTTCTCCCTCTTAAGGAAGGGGCGATTCCCTACTAATTGTTTTGAGGGAAGCATATCATCTCTCTCTGGAGTGAGGGACTATTTTCTGAAACTACAAAAGGAAAAAGTGTGGGGAAATGAATGCTACAGTAAAAAGAAAAATTACTAAACGCCTCCAGAGCCTGTACAGCCCAAGGAAGGGGTAAGATGTCTTGAAGTGCAAACTTTGATTTGCATCAGAACAATCATCGGTCTCGCATCTCAATGTATTTTTGTTTGAAATTCTTGGCGTTGTGGAGCATTCCCATATCACGATGAGGCGTCCCCAGGAAAAATTAGCAGTAGTGGTATCTTGGCTAGAAGGGGAATTTTCCCCTTTGCTTGTGGTGATGGAGAATATCCACAGGTGCGTTTCCCAAACTTTTCCAAAACTGGGGCCTTCTTCAGGAAAATTGTGCCCCCACTTCAATCCTTCTGTGTTGCTAAAGGTCTATCCATTTTAATTTCTATCCGTCTCATCCTGCTCTCTGGTAAATACTTATGAGTTCCAATCCCTCCCCTTTCTGGCTGACGCTAATGGAATTGTGCCTAGTTTGCACGGTAAGTGCTTTCCATCAAAGTAGTACCGCTCTGGCCCCCTGCTTGTATAGGAACTAGGAACCTTAGGCTCCTACTCAACCAATGTCTAAGGCTGCCCTTGAAAACTACTGAAAACAAGAGAAATAAACTGACTTGTAAATAGATAGCTCCTGGTGCAGGCTGGTCCTCAGCTCTTCCAATTCTTGGTTCTTACGTTGCTGAAGTTGGACCTCATTTTTCAGCTCCCGTAGCCTCTCTTCCATCTCTTCCACCTGTTCCTGTGGACAAAGAAAATGTCTGATGTGTAACTCTGAAACACAGTGCCTGGGAGATGAAGGTTAACCAGCTCTTAGTGTTGTCTACATGGGGAGGGGTGGGAGGAAGACGATTTGCCCTGCTTGCAGCCATCAGTATAGCAGATCTGCCTGTTTACATTATGGGTTTGCACGGTTGCAGCTATACTGATGGCTAGCCCCACCCATTGATTAATTCCCTGGTATAGATAAGGAACCTAGTTTGCCAAGGGAGGAAGTTCTGCTCTTGGCTGAATGTGCTAATGCATGCTCAGTAGGCTCATCTGTACGTATGGGATGTTTCGCAGCTCATAGTGCCTCAAGAAGCGATAACTGAAGTGTAATACAAACAGGAAAACGGTGTTTCAGAGAGATCTAATCTGTATTTTTATCTTAATGTAAAATTGCCAGGAGGTAAAGAGGAAATTAATGGGGAAAGTACACCCTGAGTTCTTGTGTGATGTGGAAATAGGGGGGAGATCTGAATCAATTTCCAGCAAACCCTGTCCTTTCAGAGCGCTGAATGGGAAGAGAAATCTAAAATGAAAAGTTGATGTAAGGCTATAAGCTGATCTGGACATAGATGGCTTGACCTCTTCATACGGAGCCTGCTGCATCTGTTACCTTCATGCATGATCAGGGGAACTTGCCAAAAGCTTTTCAACAGTAGCGTTCAGAAAGGGTATAGGGATTGAAATCCAAGTCCAGTTTTAGAAGCAACTGACTGCCTTGGCTTGCTTTAACTTAGCTGAAAAGCTGTGGAGTGAAATGGGGATAAATGTGGTGGATCATCTTTACCTAAATGCACTCTGTAGGTATTTAATTGCTTTCCCTTTCCCTACAAAATGGGGGAGAAATGCTTAACATTGGACATTTCTCTTGTCTTTATAGATAACCTCTGGCAAGGGAGGCAGCCCAACCCTGTGGCAGAGTATGAGAGACTGTTACTATTAATGCAGGAGGAAGTCAGCCAGGCAGTGCTTTCACTGGGACCCAAAATGTTAGGGAAACAGCTGTACCAGGGCATTCAGAAAGGCTTTTACTTTTAAAGGAGCACCAACTTCATTTACTAGATGGCATAGACTCTATTAATAGCTGTGTTAAGAAAAGCAGAGAGAACAATTACTGAAAACAGTCTGCCATTATAGGCCTTGATTGTACATTCTCCCCTTTGAATTTTGTGGGTTCAGGTTTGGTCTCAAAAAGCATATTCTAGAAATAGAAAAAACTAGGGAAAGTGTTTAAAGACAGGGAAAGAATTTCTATAGGAAGAGAGATTAGAGTTGGACTATTATGTTTTAGAGAGGAGGTGAATGTGATAGAGGTATAGAAAAAGGGTCCGCTAGGGGGCTTCTGTTTATCCTCTGTCATAATACAAGAACAAGATAAAGGAAATGTAGCAGATTTTAAAATGGAAAAGGAAACTTACACAACTCCTTGAACTGTAGAACTCATTGCTAAAAGAGAACGTGGCAAAGATTCAGAGAAGGAGTACTCATTTATCTGAGTAATATCTGCCATTACGCCAACTGGGATAAAAAAATGTATAAGAGGCCTAAACCTTCACGTTTCAGGGCATAAACCAACCACTAGCTGCACTTGCTTAGAAAGAAATTCCCTCTCCTTTCCATCCCCTGAGCAGGCTATGGCATAAGTAGCCATGATGAAGGTTTAAATCTTTCTTTGAAGCTTCTGATGTTGGCCAGTGGAGGACACAGGATACCAGACTGGATGGACCATTGGTCTAATGCAGTATGGGAATTTGTAGGAAAATCATTTCTCTCTCTAGGGGGCAAAATAGCCCTACTTGAAACAATAGAGGGAGGTCTACAGCTCTTCCCATCAACATCAGTAGTTTGGTAATAACAGTGTATTTGGTTTAGGCATTTGTAATGGTGCCAAACATCTCCACAACTGGTGCTTTGTGTTACTCAAACCAGCTGCTCGTAAAGGCTTAAATTTTCAAGATAATATTTGACATCCACTCCCTGGCTTTGCCAATGATGCACCCGTGAGGACAATTCCAATGTGTCTTACACAGCAGTCTGAAGCTCCCCAAGTTAGCAGCCCAGTGTCCTGCCAACAAGGTGACAAATAACAGGCGTAAACCATTTAAGGCTTTATAAACTAACCAGCACCTGGAACTAATCCCAGAAGCAGACGGTACTCTGAACACTAGTGTCGTCATAGACGCTCGCTTGGTATAAGAGAAGCTGCTGTATTCAGCACAAAGTGAAGCTATTAGGTGCTTCTCGGGTAGCCCCAAGCAGAAATGTGATGTGCTGCAAGTTGGACTCTTTGGATACATCTCTCCTTCTCTCTCTCTCTCTTTGTTTATGATGTGCTTATCTCTGTGGTATTTGAACATGCATGTCTCTAAGGCAGAAATAAATCTGCAGAGGTGTGTGCATTACATACCTGTTAAGCTAGTGTGTCTGTATATTGGATATGCAATGTTGTTGTAGTCCTGTTGGTCCCACTTTATGCCTGTGTATCCAGTATACAGAGACATGTTCTCCTGGGACAAATCTAAATAGAGATAGGGCCAGATCCTCTGGTGGTGCTAATTGGTGTCGCTTCATTGAAGTCAATGGAGTTTCACTGAATTATACAGAGGATCTGTTTCATTGTGTCTCATAGGTCAGTCAAAGCTTGGAGGCTTTTCAAAAAACAAAAACCTTTTAGCAGGACTTGTATTTGACATCCGATTTAAATGCAAATACATAAGACAACTGCTGCAGGTATAAAAATCAACAACTTTGGCACTACACTGCTTCACAGGCTTTAAACTAACTCCTTGACAATGAACATGCATGTGATAAGCTCATGGTGTTGTGCTTCAGGCCCTTAATTAAGATTTGCTTTTAAAATAACAAAGCTAAAGTTATTGCTGCTCCACTGTGTTTCACACAGTGGGCGAGGTAGGGACTGGCTTTGTTATTTGGAGGGGTTATCTAGGTGCCTCATGTTTGAAGAGGAGATCAGTAACCGATCCGGTTAACCTAGAAGAATATTTCCTTTGGCTGCCCATGGTGGTGAATCTCTAGCAATATCGCCTAGTGTCCTCTTTATTTCTAACCTCTCTTTTCTGCCTATCTAGCAGCTCCCATTGCTTTGCCTTGCCTCCATCAAGGAGAGGGGACATCTGTCGTTTCTGGGCTACTAAATGTATCAGCAAGTAGAAGATGTCTGACTTCCTATTACTCCTGTTATTCCCTGCCATCTTTCCCCTTGGCTCTGAGTGCAGTGTCTTCTATATCCTAGTTTCCACAGCTTTCAGAGTATGATTCCCAACTCTTGTGTGTACGGTACTTGTCTAGCACCAATCACTGTAGTATGCTGTTGCTGAATCCAGGAGCCAGACCACCTACATGGAAGCAGCAGAGACTAGGCCTAGACTAGAATGGCGTTTAAGCTATTTTATAGGCCCGTAAAACGTACCCTGTACTGGAGAACTTCTTCGTCCCGTTTTTGCTTAATGAGCATGATCTGTTCTTCCAGATTTCTGTTCTGCAGCCGCAGCCTGCCGGCCTCTCCCTGCAGTGGTCTCAGTGTCTCCTTCAGCCCCTGAATCTCTCCCTGGGTTTGTTGCAAAGCCTTAGCACTGGCTTCTCTCCTTTCTAAAAGGCACACGAGCTGCGGCTCATAGTGTTTCTCCAGGCCCTGGCGGCTCTCTGCCACAAAGCTCTCGAACTCCATGGAAAGCCTTCGGCTCTCCTGCAAGTAATGGCTATCCCCCCGGTACTGGGGCATCTCCAGGCGCTGCCTGAACTGTTCCTTCTGCTTTTCACAAGTCTCTCTCAGCTGCGATATTTCCTCTGAAAGCTGGCTGACCCTGGTTTCCAGTTCAGCCCGATAGACCGCATACTGGGCCATGTCATGCCGTCTGGTTTCCAGCTGGTACTGGCAAGCCACACACTCTCTGGTCACCTTGAATAGCTTCTGCTTGACTTGTCGGATCTCGTTTCTCAGATTGTCCCGCTCCAGCTCCACCTTGGCCTGCAGTCTGTAGGCTGCCAGTATCTCCTCATGAGCTTGTCTGATTTCTTGAAGGGCAGGTTCCCGGAGCAGCGTGAGTTCCTGGATGAGGCTATCCCTCTCCTCCTCCAGCTGCTCCACTGCTTCGATGCATTCCTGGAAATGCTCTCCCAGCTCCTCAATGCTCAGAGTCTGGGGCTCTGCAACATCCAAGTCCAAGGGAGCATCTGCGCCATCCACATGCTGCTCCAAGGGTGCATCTGTGTTGTTCAGCTCCAGGGGGGCATTTGTGACATCCATATGTAGCTCCAAGGGGACATGTGCAACTTCAGGCTCCAACAGGGCATCTGTAGCATCTCCCTCGAGCTCTAAGCATGTACCTGCATCGTCCACGTGCAGCTCCAAAGGGGGTTCTGAATCTGCCATCAGGTCCCTGGAAATGAGAGATGAAGCGTGAATCAGAACAACATTCACTGAGAGTTTCCACCTTCCCTTTCCCTCGCCGAAGTGTTAAGGAATGGTTCCTCAAACGGGTTCCCCTGAACCAGGAACATTAATGGTGTGTTAAGCTAGCACCTGCTTCTGCTGCAGGGCCCCATCTCTGCTGCTCTTAGCTGCCTTTGCACAAGTAAGATACCCTTCCTGTCCTTTACAAGAGACCATGCTCTCAAACTCACAAGCCGCTTCAAGCATGAAGGCTACAGTATTGGTTGGAATTGATGCATTGTGCATGGTCTTACACCAAGTTTGCCCTTAAAAAAATCTAAGATGTTTAACAAATAAAATAAAAAGTGCCATTGGCTCAGATGGACGGGGAAGAAGAGATGTGTAGTCTACATCGAGCACATCACCGGCCACCGACAGTACCAGGAGGCGTGAGCCAGAGTGACATCGTTCTCCCACTACGAGAAAGGGACCAAGTGACCTTCTCCGTTGGATCATATGAACTGGAACCATAAACTCCCTAAACATTAAATCTCACCAAATGAGGGTCAATCCATCCTCATCATCATATCCACTCATTATTCTCCACACCCCAACACAACCACTCTATGAACTTCATACCCTCATATCTCAATGTCTGTACTTTGACCCATCAACCTTTCACCCCCAATCGGGGATATTGCAGATTATGTATTCCTCATGCCACCTGATCTTCAGCCAAACTTTGCACTCTCGATAATCTGTATGTTATTCCCTGATAACCAGAAACTTCTATGCTCAAACTCTGTTCACAATTTTTTTTTTAACATCATTTTAGTAATTTGAAAACCAGCTGCAGTTCCAGTGGTACCCAGCCTCCCAGAACTGTAGAGCCACTTCATCCAGTGGAACTGCAGGGAGTTACAGAATAAACAGCCCAGGACAATACATTGCGAAGTTGCACTACCATGACTGGTCAGGTAGTAAAACTTCACTAATGATGCAAACCGTTATCCCATGGCAGGATGTGACCAGTGAGTGACTCTGCTGAAACCCTGGCACATAGACACTATGGTGACTGTTGCATTGTAAATACCAGGGTAGATGTATCCTTTTGTTTCCTGGCTGCTGGTAGTAAGACTGTTTCTGATCACTCCTTGTTGCCTCATAGGAAATAGACCAAATGGTCTTGATCTATTTACTTATTGTTTCTTCACACTGCCTTGCGCCACAAGCACAGAGGATCCTACTGGAATGTCTGTGGGCATATGTACCCCTAGACCAACGCTCGGCTAAACTTTTCTGTTTGCATGAGTGAAGGTGTTCGCTGCTAGAGGTTGGGTGTGGAAACACGTCTCTGTTTTTCTGCTGTAGTTGGTACGTGAGCTGGTAGCTAGATGCTGTAGGGATGGGTGCATTAAACATGCCTAGATTCATATTATTGCTTGTCAAACTGTATTTCTGTCAGGCTACGTCTACACTAGAAACTTCAAAGTGCTGCTGCGGGAGCGCTCCCACGGCAGCGCTTTGAAGTGTGAGCGTGGTCACACGCGAGCACTGGGCGAAAGTTCTCCCAGCGCTCCTGGTAATCCACCTCCATGAGGGGAATAGCTCCGAGCGCTGGGAGCATGGCTCCCAGCGCTCGGAGCCTGTCCACACGAGCGCTTTAAAGCGCTCAAACTTGCTGCGCTCAGGGGGGTGATTTTTCACCCCCCTGAGCCAGCAAGTTAGCGCGCTTTACAATGTAAGTGTAGACAAGCCTTGGTTAGGACGCTGAGGTGCTGCAGTAATACAAAATAATAATAATAGATGTGTCTTCCTGCCTCTCCCATGTGCTGTGACTGGAATATATGTGCTAAGTCTGTATCTCTTTTATTTTTAGGAGAGAATTTACTACTCAGAATGATAGCAAGTCAAATGAAAGGCTTTTACTAGGTGCTGTTGCACCGAGAGCTTGTCTACAAAATGTCAGGCAGACAGCAATTCATACTGCCAAGTTATAGATTTTTTTTCATTAAAACCTGCCTGGTTTTCTGCCATGCTGACACAGCCTCCGAGGGAGGGAATGCGCCGATCGAGTACATCCAGGCTCTCCAAGATGGTTGAGGATGGAATACAACATTTAACACAGAGTAGAGAAGCTTCAGTTTTCCCAGGTGGGATTCTTAACTCGCCTCCGCAGCTGTGAGCTGATCATTCATCCACTACAATCTATGTAAGTCCTTAATACGTGTTATTGTTACAAAATGCGTCAGTCATAACTAGTCTAAACACATGTGCTTTGGGGTCCTGAGGAGAGAATGATCTATTGCAAAAAGGCGGTTACACTGTCTATTTTTTTTAAAAAATACACCCTAGAATAGGTTCAGTGGGGAAGCTGCAACCACACCCAATTTGTAGTAGAGTTAGAGAGGAAGAAAGCATGCTCGCTGCCAGCATGGATCTGAGCTAATGTCTAGTCACCTAGAAACAAATTTGCGTAGGCTGGCACAATAACAGCGCTCCCCTCTGTTCGCTAAAACAGTTCTAAGATGAGAGAGAACAGATTATTTTCACGGATACGCTCCCTCTTTCCAAATAAGGCAGTTTTCTGAAATCATGACACATCTCTAGCCTCAGAAGCAGGGCGAGTGTTTCTTATTTCCTAAGGGAGAAGGGGAAAGATCATGAAAAGGTGAGGATAAAAGCAGAGCCCCTTTTCAGCTGGTACCATCAACTTTTTGGCTAATTGAACCTCTTGGTGCTCATCTGCATGTGTGGGACTAAAATCAGGAAATAACCCTTGCCACACCTGTCCTGCTGTTGCAGGATTTAATCCTGAAACTGATCAACTGCCTAAAACTACACACTGCAGTCCCATTCTTCCAGATCTGGGTTTAGAGATTCACACCCACATGCCACCCCTCTTCTCTCTCTCTCTCTCACACACACTTACTTTTTTTTTCCAGTTCACACAAGGAATCTCTTACCTGGCACGTAACATCCCTTCCTTATGGTCCCGTGGTGAAGTACAATACATTCTTCAGCACAGACTAGACTAGTCTGACCTGCATGTATTGACTAAGGCAAACTCCTGGCAGATCTTGTAACCTTTTCAAATGAATGAAGCTGCTGCCTGCAGGAGCCCAGCTGCCCTACATTCTGAGCAGAGCTGCTGGACTTTCTGGGTTAATCCCAGCAAGAAGGGCGAAAGTGGCTCTGCTCAGGGAAGACCCCTCCACTTTTGCCCCCTTTACCCCATCTGGTCCCAGACGAGGGAAAAGCACAGCCCCAATTTGCAATTGTTAGCTCTCACCTTTCTCTCCAGGAGCCCAGTTCCTCGTGTTCTGGACTGGACGTGGGTGTAGCATGGGAGTGTGTATTTGCTATTAATAAAGTGTTAGAAACCAGAGCCCCCTGGCCTCCAAGCAGCAATCTCCCTTTCTTTGCCTGGGAGCCAGCTGCAATGCCAGCTGCAGGCTGGATCCCTCCCAGCGTGGTCAGGGAGGAGGAGGAGGGCGGAGAAAGGGAGAGCTGGCTCCTTGCTCCAGATCATTTTTAGCAGGCGGCAAGTTACAGTAAATGAGGTTGGGTCCTTCCAGAAGTCGGGAGCCTGGATCTAAAACATGCCCATCCTGGGAGGCATTCGCCAGGGAAGGTGGTGGCTGGAGTTACCCTGTTCGAGACTGAGCACAAGCTCTGGGTTGCTGCGCTCCTTTGATTTTTAGAAGGATTTTGAAGTGATGGTTTTCTTTGTGCAGCCTTAAGCCCGCCCCTTCCCTGCCCTTATTGGGCCCTCTTCCCTGACTGGCACAATGCCCTTACCATTCCCGGTCCAGCCCTGGGGATACTTGCACAGAGAGGCAGCTGTCTGGTGAGCAGTCCATGAGAAAGCAGAGGGAGTGGAATGGGTGGGATCAGTTGGAGGGTGGGGCGTGAGGGTTTGCAATGTTCGTTCTGAGTTCTTGGCCTGTGATCACTTTTAGTTGATTGAAATAGAAAATATTACAGAATTTTTTTTTAAAAACCCCCCAGCAAATCACTTAAAAATACTTGAGATTAAATGGACTTTAGGGATGGGGCACTGCCCACTGCTGTGGCGAGGATACCGATCTGTGAGTCAGGCTCCTGGCGTCTACTCCTCCGTCTGCCACAGACTCACTAGTTGAGCTGGAGCTAATCACTTTGGGTAAAATTTTCAAAAGCACCTAAATGATTTAGGAGCCTAAATTCCACGGACGTTCAGTGAGATTTAGGTCCCTAAATTCCTTGTGACAATGAGGCTATGTCTACACACTACAGGCACAGCTACAGCACTGCCGCTCTGCCACTGTGGCACTGTAGTCTAGAAATTTCTCACAGGGATGGAAGGAGTGTAGTTAATCCAGCCCCTCAAGAGGTGGTAGCTAGGCGGTTTTTACACCGGGGCTTAGGCTGGCTTAACTACATCTCTGAGTGTGAATTTTTCACACCCCTGACCGATGTATCTAGGTTGATCTAAGTTTTAGGCCTAGACCAGGTCTTAGACTTAGACTGTGGCCAGGTGTTAGAATTAAAAGTTAGGTTGACCCAGCTACGTCACTCAAGGATGTGAAAAATTTATACCTCTGAGCAACGTAGTTAAGCCGACCTAACACCAGGTGTAGACAGCATTACATCGACAGAAGAATTCTTCCATCAACCTAGCTATTGCCTCTCCGGGAGGGGGATTAACTACGGCAATGGAGATCCCCTCCTGTTGCTGTGGTGGTGTCTGCATCAAAGTGCTACAGTGGTGCAGCTGCAGTGTTCCTAGTGAAGACATAGCCTGTGTCTGCACTACAGACTTCTGTCAGCATAGCTCTGTTGGTCAGGAGTCTGAGATTCCCTGACTGACTGAGCTGTGCTGGCAAAAGTTTGTAGTGTGCACGCAGCTATACTAGTAAAACGACACTTTTATTGGGTTAGCTTGTTTTGCTCATGGGCGAGTGGATTTACCACACTGGTACAAAGCACAGTCTAGCTGTGTCCACACTAGGTCTTCGCTGGGATAGCTTTGCTGGTATAGTATACTTGTATTCCTATACTGGTAAAGTGCTCCTAGTCTAGACATAATCTTAGGCTCCTAAGTCACTTACACACTTCTGAAATTTCTATCCTTTACCTTTGTGCGCCTCTGTCCCCATGTGTAAACGGAATTAGAAGAATGACCTTGGTAAAGCACTTTGAGATCTGCAGTTGAAAAGTGAATATATAAGTGCCAGGTGCTCTTATTATTAGGAATAATTAAATTCTCTCTCTTTTGCCACTGCACTTCAGTCTTCCCCTCTCAGCTGGCACAAGACGGAGCTCAGTTGAGCTTCACTAATAAACCTGCCCACCCCCGCAGTGCTGCTCTGACAGTAACATTCTCCCTGTCCTTTGGAATGAGATGGGGCTTTGTTGTTTCAAGACTGCACCCTTTCAAATATATTCCCATTTATTAACATTTAATACCAATATACAAATGTGCTCCACTCATGCTTCGTCTCCTCTGAAATGTGGCTATTGTGAGTGTAATGCAGAGAGTGCAGAGGGGAGATGAGCCAAGCTGTGCCCACCAGGTTCTGCTGCTGCCAATGCCCTTTCCTTTCCAGGAAAGGGCATTGGCAGCAGCCTCATTCCCTAACCTGGCAGCTGTCTCTCTCCCCCTCCAAGTTCTCAGGGCAGCCTTCGCCTTGTTCACTATACCAGCTGCAGAAAGTTCCGAAATGGAAGAAGATGCCAGTTACTTGCTAATGGTGATTGCATAACCCTGTGATGATGATCTTCCCAGCATAAAGGACTGCTCTATAAAACCATCAACAAAGGAGTGGAAAGACATAAAACTATAGATGTATAAAGATTGTCACAAGGTAGAAGTAACCCCAGGAAGGAGATCTATCATACAGTCAAGTCTATCAGAGGCCGGAGTTTACCCTTTGCATTTGCAGACCTGACAAGTCTCGGAGTTTCTGCTTTTTTGGATTAATTTTAAGACCTTTTTAAAGACTCTCCCTCTTGCAATGAAGGGCTTTGTTGTGTTTCAGTGAGATGTTCACAGCCTCACAAATGACTTCTCGACACCTCCTTCACTGAGATTGTCAGGTCTTGACAACCCTGCGTTCCTATTGTACTGATAGGCCTTGCGATCTGCGCGCCTTTACATTCAAAAAATACAAATAATCTGTAAATCCAGCAATAATCTCTGGTGGGAACTAAACTAGACCTTACCTTTGCTGTAACAGCCCTGTTCGTGCCCGGTCCTCGACATCCTCCCTGGCAGTTACGAACTGGCTCCGCTTATCTACCTACGGATTGCCAAGCAACACCCACCACTCTCTTGAAACATTCATAAATGTCAACGTAGTCCCAAACGTCAGCTTCCCCAGTCTTGCTAATCCTCCCTGGGCCAAACACTAGTGCGAGGATCAGGTTACCCATCCCTTGTTTGCCTTCAGGTTTCTAAGTTCCAGTGAAATCAGGGCTAAATCGGGCTTGCCAATATAAGCACTGAAGGAAACACAGCTTTCAGTGACAAATATTTTTGTTAAAAAAGATACTTTCTTCAGTACAGTCCACACTCCTCCTCCTCCTCCTCCTCTTCTCCTCTCCCTCCCCCCCAGCTCCCCTATTTGTGGAGTGCCTTTTGACTCAATAGCATAGGAATGCTATTAACTTGAACAAGTTGTGTGTGTGTATAAATATATAACTGTCCAAAGCTGCCAGGGGGACAAAACCTGTGGGTCATGTGCGCTGGGTAGAAAAAGCCTTGTATGGGATGAAATTAAAAAAAGTTTACTTCTGAAGTGCCAGCTTTACACCTCTTTCTGATTTATCCATTAAATATTTCAGGGGAGGGAGGAATGTGAAAAAGTTCAGCTGTGCTTTCCTTCTGGACTGGGTGAGTTTGCAGCTCTTCTCCTGTTGGGGATCTGTTTGTGAGTACAGCTAGGCAACAGTCAGCTAGGGTGTCATCAGGAGAAGAAGGGGCATTACATCTGATATGCCCAGGGCTGCTAATACAATGCAGCTTGTTACAGCAAGTCCAGAGAAGAGATCTCAGCAACATTGTGACCCCTCATAGCTGCAGAGAATTGATATCCCTTTTTGGATTTGGTTAAGCACGACTCCCCACATCTGCTTCTCTTTGGTTAATTCAGGTCTGAAGGTTGGATGGATTCCTGTTTGTATGGAGCAATCTGAAAAAAAAGCTTGTGTGTGTGTGTGTGTGTGTGTGTGTGTGTGTGTGTGTGTGTGTGAACTAAAATAGTCTGTACTTTGCTCCTGTAAACAGCACCAGTGAAGGCTTATCAGGAACACTGCTAAAACCATGAAGGAGAAAAGAAAACGTCTGAGCATATTGCAAAGACTAAATGTTCCTGCTTTTTTTAAAAACTGCAATGTCCCTGATTGTCCCTCTTGTTCTCTTGTGGTTACAGATTTTTCTGCTTTGAACCTGATGACCTACTAAAAATAGCTAAGCACCACAGAGCACAAAAGTAATACTTAGTTCACTCTCTCTGTGTCTGTCCCCCTCCCGCTTTGCTGGGGTTCACGTTTTTTCCTTTGAATTAAGCCTTTTTTCCCCCCTCTCCCTCTTCAAAAATTTCACATCTTCTCCAAATCCAATATCTGGGTAGTGGGTTTAATAAATGTTAGAATAGAGGAACATGGTTCTAGGCTCCTGGGTTCTGGACCCAGCTTTGCTACTGACTCACTGAAAGATCTTGAGTAAAGCATTTAACTGTCTATATCTCAGTTTTTACCCATCTCTGTAATGGGGATAATACTTACCCCACAGAAGTGTTAAGAGGTTTAATCAGTGTCTCCTTTTTTCTCCCTGGTGGGACCATTTATCTCACATGGTAAATACTATCCATATAAAGACATTCTGCCTAAGTTCTTTTCCATTGTCCTCCTTTCTTAGCTTAAGTTCATGTCCTCTGTCTGCTTCTTGTCTCTGACACTAACTTGAACAATTTTGCAGCACATAGCCTGTCTAGTCCCCACAGAATTTCATACTCCTCAGTGAGTTCTCCTCTAATGGCCTATCCTGCTCTCATTGGAGTTTCCCCATTGATTTAAATGGGAGCAGGATGGCTTTCTTTCACAAAGAATGCAGAGCTTTAAAGATCCCCTGTCAGCCATTGCCCTTCTCTCTGAATTGTCTCAATTTCTATGCTCTGCTTTCCCCAGTGTATCCAGAGGGGCAGAGAGTTTTACATGAGAGGCCTGAGTAATCCCTCAAGCAGGGATAGGATCATTTCCCCATCCCTGTATGTAACCTAGCATTTCTTTCGTTCTTTTACTGCATTCGTAGCCTGTGTCAAAGGTTTTAAGATTGCATGTGCCGCCACTCCTGATTCTTCTGCTCCTCAGTGTTTTCTAGCATATCATCTTGAGGATCAGTTTATTCCCTTTTTTCCATTGTATGTCCC